CAGTTGCGAAACCTGGCCGCTTAAAGCAGCGGACCTGAAGAGGCTAGTTACGTTCGACCACCGGTGCCTTCGTAATTTAGCTCACATCTGGTGGGAACACCGCGTGAGCAACGAGCGTGTTCGACGACTTGTTTATGGCACAGGAAAAGGAAATGAACCGCTCAGCACCGTTATTTACTGCACCAGGCTCCGATGGCTCGGCCACGTGTTACGCATGCCAGCCCACCGACTTCCGCGACGTGTGTTGTTTGCGCGCCGGGGGTGTGGATGGAAGAAGAGGAGGGGTGGCCAAGCGATGAATTGGTCGAGAGGAATGAAGACCCTCACTTCTGAGCTGGCCTCGGTTGGAGCGTCTCGGCTCGCAAGTTGGGGTCCGAAAGATGAGCTCGTTTGGCTGGATACACTTGTTGATATGGCTAGGAGCCGACCTCAGTGGCGTTCGTGCTGTGAGTTTCTTTGTCCCACCCCATCCCTCTTAGCCTCCCTCTCCTACCACGATCTCACTATTCAGCCTTATATAATTGCGTAGCAATTTTTTTCGATGCAAAATAGCCGGCTGGTAGCTTCTCGGAAAGATGCCCATCTGTTACCGATAGCTCAGCCGACTTGTACCAGTTGCATTCTTTTTCTCCTTCTTTCTTCTATGTATTGCGGCACAGTAGCTGAGGCGTTTCCCACCTCTAGCTAACGTGTATAATGATGATGATGATGATGGTCCTATTCGTGTTGCCGTCGGGACACTTGAGAACTTGGAAAATGAAGCGACTCATTAGAGGATGCTGACTTATTCTCCACAGCAAATCCAAGTACAAGATCAGGGTAATTGCGTTACCTGGGTGATGGCGCAAGTACCGCAACGGAGAATGCATTCCCAACATGGTGGACTATGAGCTTGAACACCATTGAGTGCGCAGCTCGCTAATCAGTGTGTGAATCTTATCAGCCGTAACTGTTTTATCCATTTTTTACTCTCCACTTGCTCTCTGAATAATCTTTCGGCAGCAGATATCCAAAAACACTATCATCAACCGCCACTTAAGCATAATCTGTCTAGACTGATCAGTAGCACTTTCCCAAGCCCGTGTAAGTCACACTAGATGTTGGCAAAATGTTTGAATTCATAAGATACAACTTCATTGTGACCATAGACCGTTCATTTAAAGCGCCTATCAGGAGATGAGTTTCGATAAGTGTGCTAACCTAGAAAGTATAAAAATGAACATATGTTCAAGCGATTTTGAATAGAATTTTCGTGAACTCTACTAGCAATAGCTGTGCTGCCCAAGGATGCATTTCTAATGGAAATACTCCTGATTTTGACTCACACTTGTCCGAGAACATTAGGACTGTAGTTGACCACTTCTTTTGGCTTTACTTAAAACTCGCATTCTCATTGATGTTCAGCTCATCGTCACCGGCTTCGCAACTGTCCGTTCAGGTAGGCATACGCGTCCACTTCTCGTTATAAACAGTAAGTTTCATTGTCTGTTTACTTGACTACCGTTGGACGTCAAGCAGATTTACAAAGCTTTTGTCCCCTAGCTTTCATACGATGTAAGAAATAGTTAGCTTCATGTGCCTTGTACGTTTGATGAACGTTTATTCAAGGTCACATATGCAAACGGAGGCGGAACACTTTTGTACATAATTAATGGACTGTGACAGGTAACTTAGTTGTTGGATTCAGCCCTTCCATTGAATAAACTAAGATGGTATAATGAGCGTAAGTTAACACCGAAGTGTGTTGATGACTGCCGCTGTCATCTGGCTCAATGAGGACAGAACTGGTGAGCAGCGAAGCTTAATTCCGAACTGACCTCTGGTCGGTTCGGCGGAGCTGTACGCCACCTGGCACGTCACCAGGTTGCGGATTAGGGAATGCCTTCTGTGCGAAGGTAACTGTGAATAAATCTCGGCTGTTCGCAGCAGAGATGCATAAGCAGTCACGGTCAATCCGTTACAGCGTCCTAGAGTGTGGGGGCTTCTGGCTGGTCTACTGATGCCTCAGCAAATACCACAAGAGCTCGTAAGACATTGTGTCCAAGCCAATTTGGATGGCTTTAGGGTCACTGACCACTCACTTCTCCGACCAGAAGTGAGTTCTCAAAACTGAGCGGATGAATAACCTCGATGAGCACCGGCTTCTATGAAGGCCTGTGAGCCACACGCTTGATAACGGCCTTCGTACTTTGCGCTGATTTCAGTGGTACAGAGAATCTTCGCCTCGCTGCTCCCTTTGGCCTGTTGAGCGCCCTGAGTGGTACGTTTCTACTCGAAAGCCGTGTTATCCTCACCTAGATAGCCCGCTTCCAACGGTTCGTTGTACACGTCAATCGCCCCGTTGCCTTGCGGGTCAGTTTCTTTACGACTCAAGACACCGGATGGGACCCATAACTCAACCTGCTTCCTCGGCCTGAGCAACCGGGAACACTGTGCCAACACAACCTATGGGTACATGTCACAACAATTCTTGTCTCACTCTCCCCACTCTCGCTTCCTCTGCTCTCACTCACTGGAACTGCTCTCCTCTGCCGAGGTGCAAGTGGCCGAACCTGCCAAACCACGTTTTACCGCGCCACTTTTAATCAGTTTATTTCGCGTTTGTTCAACCCCGATTCTCGGTCCTCCCCTACGTTTCCGAGTCTACAACGCCGCCTTGGGCGAGCGTTCTCGCCATAAGGATCAGGAGTTTAGGACCGGGGATGCGCCAAGTAGTGTTGGCAAGGTATTTCTAGCTCCCGTTCCCAATTCAATTTCATTACATTCAATGTTCGGACGCTGCTGCGAATCGGATCACAGGCAACCCTTGTTAGCACTCTAGAAACTGCCGTAGTTGATGTCTGCCGCCACAGTGAGACCAGGAGTCGAGCACAACGCAACGACCGGTTTCCCCTTATGTGGGCTCCCCTGTCAGTTTCACATTACGCCTATCTGACGACCCAACCGCCGAAGACGCCTGTCGTGCTGGTGTGGGGTTAGCGTTGAGCACACTTGTCGAGGCTGCGCTGCTAGACTGCATTCCTAACAACAGTCGACTCTGTGCGATACGATTCTGGAGCCCTTAGCGCTCCCTGGTGTGTAAACGCTTCAACACCATCTGATGCTCAGGTTGTCAATGAGCTTCGCCTAGTAAGGCGCTAAAAAACCCCTGGCCCAGATGAATTCCCTTAACTTTTTCAAAAATGGAGGTCGACTGCTGGTTCGGGAGTTCAATTGTTCAATGGTGTATGATGGGATAAAACGCATAACTTTACAAGACCCTTCCCCAAGCTATCCGGGTCACTGAAGTTATCCCATCTGTTTGAGCCTAGCGGATATCGTGTCCGTCTTCAAAAATGGTACCTGAATTGACTGCGTCAAACAAAGTGATTCCACTCTTCTTTGTTGCTTCCAAGATGTTCGCCGCTCTGTTTTTAAGGAAGCTCAGCCTGGTACGCGAACAAAGTAAACGTGAAGTATAAGCTGGATTCCGCTCAGCGCGGATTTGCGTCAGTCACTTCTTCACACTCTAGCAAACATGTGAGCATCGTTAAAAATTTAGCGTGCCAACGATCGTAGTATTCCTAGACATACGAGCCGCGTTTGCCTCTGTTGAACGAGCTACTCTCTGGAGTAGTCTGTTGAAGAAGAGAGTGTCCGAGAAGTATGTCACTATTCTTCAAGCCATCTACTCTCAAACGTCGGGCCGAATGCGGGTATAAGGCGGACGTTTACTCCCCTTTAGTAACACTAATGGCGTGAGATAGAGTTGATCAGCATCCCCGTTCTTGTACACTATCGCTATGAACGAAATCCTGGAGTGTGCTGTGGAGAACTGCCATCCCAGCGGTGTCGAGCTGCTTTCGATGGACCGAATTCGAGATTTGGAGTATGCATACGACATGGCCATAATGTGCGATTCCTCACAGGCTGCCGAAAATATCTTGTATAGATTGGAGGGGTCTGCCTCCTTGTTTGGAATGACGTTCGCACCATCTAAGTGCAAGTCTTCCTGGGGAACTGGCTAGGTGCTGCTCTTATCCCTACGCTTTCAGCTCACTCGTAGAAACTGGTGGACAATTTCGTTTACCTCAGAAGCTGCGTCAGCGCAAACGGTTCCACAGATAAGGTCCCCCTTGTGTGTCTCCAAGCCTGGGGTTGCTTTTGCGAATCTTCACCATCTCTGGCGTCGAGGCAATTTGAGTCTATATCTGAAAGGCCAAGTCTACAATGCCACATGAAGAGCAGCCCTGCTGTATGGCTACGAGACTTGACCTGTTCGCGCAAAGGATGTTATAAGTCTGTCTGTATTTGATCAGCACTGCCTTGGGAGCATTGCTGGTGTACGGTGGAAACATCACACTAGTAATGCGCGGGTTCGACGGAGGATTCTCAGATCAGACAGACTTTGCGGCCACCGAGCAACATAATGTCAATGCACAGATTTCAGTGGCTTGCGCATGTGCTCCAAATGCTTACTCATCGTTTCCATCGCCGTGCCCACTTCGCTTGCGCAGAAGTCGGCTGGAAGTGAAAGTAAGGTGGCCAAAGTATGCTTTGGGCCAGAAGTATGACGGAGCCAACCTCAAAGTTAACCGCAGTCGGGCCCTCTCTACTCCCTGGCTGGGGGTGCAAGGATAACTAACACGCAGGGGTGGAAACCCTATCGGATTTGGCAAGAAGCCGTGCGCAACGGCGGACTTGTTTTAACACTCTGTTCACATTGCCACTGTTTTACATACTTTCTTATCACTTTGTTTGTATTTCCCATACGTTGTGGCACTATGTCAATTGTACTATTGGCCGCGTTGAATTATATATGTAAATATATATATATATATATATAGCATGTTTACGAGAAATGAGATAAGTAGCCGTCTGCAACAGATGGTATACATCAGTCGGCAAAAATGGATTTTGGCTCCAGAAGTGACAAACGTATCTATCTAGTTACTGCCTCAAAGGTCATGACAACTTGCAGACGATTAGGTTAAGTTAGGTAATATGGGAAAACCACTCACATGGTTCTGCGTACGCCAATATACACGCGATTGTTAGAATGGGGTCCAGGCATTTAAGCGATACCCCGACCAAAACCATCTTAGCGTAACGCGGAGGTATTGGTAAGTCACAAATGTGATATCCAATTTCGGTGAGTTCTTGTGACTGGTCCAAAGCGTCCATCGCCTGCAAAGCGGACATGAATGAAACGTAGCTTTAGCGGGTATTGCATTTATAACGCAAATCCGGTGTGAAGCAATCGGTACTGGTTTTTGACATAGCCAATAACCATGTATGAAATAATTTCGACACTGAATACATCAGTGCATAGCGGTGAGGTAGGCCTGACTTAACCGAGAAATCACCACAGGAGTTCTTCCACAATGGACCAGGAAATAAATAACCAGTTTGAAAACTTGGTACACAAAACCCAGCAACACCCAAACTTATGGGATTTCAAAATGTTTTGATGTCACACACCGCGGAATACAAATCTCACTCATGCAAAGCATGATCATCATTGTATCCATGGTCTGTCCACAGACAGATTTTCGCACAGTGGAGAAATGTACATTATTATTTTCACCACACTTTGCGAGTGAAGGTTCCAAGTCCTCCAATATACCGCGAAATAGTGTGAAAGCTTCTTTGTGCTTGCGCGACTTACTATTAGGGAGCGAATAGCGGCCTCATAGTGCTCCGGTTTTGGGGGTCGCGGGACATATGTCAGCAGTACTGGAATCTTCGAGCCAGGTGAGGCCAACAGGTATGCTTGAATACAAGCTTCCTAAAAGTATAAGGATAGGAAAGCAATGAGTTATGTGTGTATAATGAATCCTTCAGTGTGCTAGTTGCAAAGTTGTTTACCAAAGAGGTTTGGTATTGGAAATCCGATACCAAACGTATATTGCCGTTGAACGGCAAACTATCTCATAAATAGATGTCGCCTGAATTTATTCCGCTTAAACCACCGCATAAGATATTCCTCTAATAATTATGGCGTATGAGTGACGCGGACATTCTCATTTGGGAGTAATTTTTGACCTGACTTGTGAGGCTACTGAAAGTGTTTCCTTAAATGCGGTCCTTACACCTTTACTGGCATCAGAGGCACTGGGAAGTTAGGAAGGCAGTACGAACTGTAGCAATAGTTAAACAAAATTTGGCAGTCATGCTTCTCTTGTTATTATTGTATCATCCAAAATAGGTGACATGGTAAAGTATGCCAATTTCTACGTCGTTAGGACTCACGGTGCTATCAAGTGACTGGTGGTTTTACAAATCATTTTGGATTCCAAACTTGTGAACAATATGTTGAAGGACAGGATAACTTCAGTGAGACTGCGTTACTTTTGGTTCGCTGCGCGTTTACTGAACACGAAGACCAAGTCGTCAACATAACCCAGCTCAACCAGTTTTTCCCGAACTGCAGCTGAATGTATTTTTCGTGAGATTCAACAAAGAACATTTCATGAAGAGGTCCACGATGCAATTAAATGAAAAGGTGGAGATAGGATATCCCGGACAAAGCAAAAGATATTGACAGTTCATCTGAGTGAGCAGCATAAGAAGAGCGCCAGATTTGTTTCAAATGAGGTTACTTTTGGCAACACAAGCGATGTTGCTGAGTCGTTGGATCCACACCCCTGCCTGGTTGGGGACCAAAGGACGAAGTGTGTCGATGGCTCGAAACAATCAAGATCAAGCCCGGCATCGAAACCCGTAGATGATCTATGTACACTGCTCGCGGAGCTCAATGACATAGTGATCATGGCGATAGCCGCCAAGCACTATGCGCCGAGTTCCACTTCCAGCTCAGCTATCTCTACCTGATGAGTCTAAACAAAGACTAAAACCGTCGGTCTTGGAGTGCGAGGATTGGAGAGAGCCACACCGAAACCCTCCACTTCGGTGACGGTCCCAGTGACCGTATTAGCAGAGACTGAGTTCAAAGTCAACCGACGCCACGAGTGGGATTGCGTGTAGCAATCCAAGACACACGGCGGGTGTTCCAAAACCCGTAAATCTATGTACACACTTATTTAGATTCAGATGCTCAATGTCCAACGTATAAAAAAGTAAAAACAGCGGAAAAATAACAAACAACCCTCCATTTTTCTTTTATTCAGGCACAGTAGCTAAAGTATGCTTCTGACCTTCGAGATATGTTTAGTGCTGATGATGATGCGGCGATTCTACCCATTATTTCCCCTTTACTTCCATGGATTTGGTTGGCACAATGTTTTATTTATTAGACTGTTGTTGATATTTGCAATTGTTACTTCAAATTGGAATTTTTGCTAAGCGAATCGGACACATTGTATTTTAAACTGAAAATCAGAAATTAACTAGCAAGAAATAGGAAGCAAGTCGATTGGACTATGTTCAGACCACATTGTGGTCATGCCAATGAAACCGAATTGTGTGCTCAGCGGGTGTTAGTGCAAGCTCCTTTTTGATCGTGAGCCTAAATCACCTGGATCAAAGACGGTGACTAAGTTTCCCCCTTTCTCCCCATCTGCCTTGATGCTGTTTGGTGCCTGTGCGTGTGCGATTTGTGAACCATCCCATCAAAATCATAGCTTTCTCTTACATGAACGAGTCTGTGTATTTCACTAATAATCATGCCGTTTCTTCACCTCTAAGACAACTCTTTTCATACATACTGCTTTCAATAACATGTGTTGTTTTCCATTACTGAAGGCATTTATGACGGTTAGACATACCCTCCGCTTAGTGCATACATCGTTTCCTTACTTAACCACTTAAAGTGCTTTCAGGCGTAAAAAATACTTGCGAAGTCTGACTAAACGAGTTTGTGAGTATACTGACAGCATTCAACTTGACAATATAGTGGTATGATTACTGAATGAAGAAGATGAGTGTGCAAAGTTCGGAGTAAGGTCCCAGTTGTCAAGAAGGTAGCAGCCTACTCGAGATTGCGGAAGTAAGTAGACGCATGACATGTTAGAGGCATAGTTACCTCAAGTTGACAGCCCTTCAATTGAATGAACCTGGTGCAGTGCAACGAGTCAAAACGAATCTTGCTGTATAACCGGAAGCAGATACATGTGCTCCTAAAATGCAAAGAGATAAATTTATTTGGTTGTTTTATCCGAGATTCCAATTAATGGAAAAGCACTGGAATCAACTATTGCTAACCTTGATTGCCTTTGAATCGCAGATACTTTTGAAATCCACTGAGTTCGTAACACGCTCTCCTCGGACCAATTAACATGGGTCCTCTAAACAGGAGAAGGATGGTTATTAGCGTAATCCGATTTTGGCTTTGATAAGCTATTGGTTGACGAAATAATGTATATGAACATACACTGGCGGTGATTAGTATGCTTGCGTGACGGATTATAATTGATCAGCAAGAAGCACTTCTCATGTTAGAAAATAAAGACAGAGGATCCCTCAAACGAGCTGAACCTCTAGATTTCGCCGTACGTCTCGGTGCTGCTAGCTTCATAACACTGCTAATGAACACTCACATGGGTTAACTCAGCAACTGTTGATCCCTCGCTCACATCTATTGAATTTCGGCATATCATCAGTTGGTCAACGAAGTTATTTTTTATAGGAACTTTCACTCAGTTTTTCTGAGGTTGCCATACAGTTGTTCCACTGGATTTCAACCGAAGTCATAGTCACACGCATGTAAAATTCAATTTCGACAAAATCCCAATTACCACAGTCTGCACTTCCACCAGCTATTCCGGTTAGTTTTACAGTTTATGTCCATAGTTGTGCCTATAATTTCCATTTCCATTGTCTACAACCACCAATGAGGTTTCCTAGATGACCGACAACTTGCAATTTTTTTAATTCCAACCATGGATCTCTGAAAGAAGACTACTGAAGATCACCGAACATTATTTGAACGAATCACCTGCTTGCCTCAATTCTTAGTCACTTTATCTGATGTCCTGGAAAACTTTTGTTGCTCAGATAGGCACATGGGGATTTGGCCTATTTGCTCTACTCTACTCATAAAACTGTCACTTACGAAACTGTTCAGTCCACAGTCCACCACGTAAGCAATATCGTCAAAACTCAGCGTAGACTCTGCAATATCGGATGCCAGTATCTACAAAAGAAATAAGCCAGTTTTCAAGGAGAATCCAATTGACATCAAAAATGGACTCGGATAATAAGTATAACTAATAAGAAACAGAATGCGTAGTAAATTTGTGGTCGTCTTACTATTTTTCTCACATCTGCCGGCGGCTTCACATAGATACGCGTGAGATCAGCAACCAGCATACGTGAGTGTAGAACGAATACCAGTTGCTTACTAAAATGATTACAAAGAAAAGAACAAAGTTATGGGTATTAGCCACTTTCAAATTTTGCTTAGACCGAGTGCATCAGTAAGTTTTCTCATTAGTCTATTTTCGAAAGCATTCGGTAATAGTACCTTTGGTGGAAGGCATTGCGTTGGTTGCCAACTATGAGTAACATTGCGGAGTCAGACTTGTAATTGGCAAATAAACAAACAAGTTGATGTTGTGGATGATAGCTGGGTGCTTCCCGCTCACATAATGGCACTTTACGACTGGTTTTGAGCTTGCTTACACGTATCACACAGGGAGAAAAGGACTGCGACCCCAACTCGGGATCGTTGGGTTGCCAGCCGAAGCTTGTACCCGGATGACATCGAGTCAATGCAGCAAGGCTTATCGCAGTATTTAGTGACTAGATGGGGTCGTTTTGCATTTTTGGACAACGTAAGACATATCCTAATGAATCTGACTAAGCATTTAATACAGGTTTCCTGCAGAACTGAGAGGTCAGATGATTATCCTCACACAGGAGAGAAAAATTTATCCCGTATACCGTCATGTATGGGCGTTATGAATGACTATTTCAGCTATACTTTTTTCGGATTGCAGTCCACAACGCCATCAAGACGAATAGGACATTTGGTAGTGGATTTTAGATCAAACGGTAAACCTAAAACGGAAATTTAATCGTAACTTCCAAATAGCAGTGTTTTGGATGCAACTATCATGGAGTTTGTGGGTCAACTGGGCACTGTACACCCTACAACAAAACGGATTTCTGGTAGCTCGGATTGACAATATGGTATCGCTTTGCTCGTTAAACTTAGTATTTGGGAGGTAGAAAAAGGGCTATTTATTGCGTAATAGTGAGCAACTTGTCTGAGAATAGCGAGACCCTGTAACCAATCAAGCAGATAACAGAACAGCCTGTGGGACAGCATTCCATGAACAATACGGTTACTGCACCAAAGTAATTGCAAAGAATCGTCCTGCGTAATGACGATGTCCACATTATCCGAA